AACTCTAACACAAATTACATATTTATCTATTTATTATGAGTTTTTTAATAAAAGGAAATCTAATTATACGAGTATTATTAATATAAAAAAAAATATTAATTGATATAAAAAAAGAGGTTTTAAAAGACTTTCTATAACACTCTATCACAATTTACCTATTTATCTATTTATTATGAGTTTTTTAATAACAAGAAATCTAATTAGACAAGAATTATTAATATAAAAAATATTTATTAATTGATTTGAAAAGAGTTTTTTAAAAAGTTTCTATATAAAACTGTAACACAAATTACCTATTTATTTTTTTATTATGAGTTTTTAATAAAAGAAAATCTAATTGGACAAGAATTATTAATATAAAAAATATTTATTAATTAATATAAAAATAAAATAATTTTTCTAAATCTCTACCACAAATTATCTTTTATTTTGAGTGTTTTTTTTTATTATTAATAAAAGGTAATCTAATTAGACAAGAATTATTAATATATAAAAATATTTATGAATTGATATAAAAAAAGTTTTTAAAAGATTTACTCTAACATATATTACATATTAATCTATTTATTATGATTTTTTTAACAAAAGAAAATATAATTAAACAATAATATATTTTAAAAAATAAAATGATTTCTATAAAATCTACCACAAATTACCGGTTTTATTTTCTATAAAACTCTATCACATTATATATTTATTATGAGTTTTTTAATAAAGTAAAATCTAATTAGACAAAAATATATTTAAAGAAAATAAAATAAAATCTATAAAACTCTACCACAAATTAGTTATTTTATTTTCTATAAAACTCTATCACAAATAGCATGTATTTATCTATGTATTATGAATGTATTTACAGAAAATAAAATAATTTCTATAAAACTCTATCACCAATTACCAATTTTATTTTCTTTAAAACTCTACCACATATAACGTGTATTTATATATTTATTATGAGCTTTTTAATAAAAAGAAAAATAATTAGACAATGATATATTTAAAGAAAATAAAATAAATTTTTAAAAAAGTTTATATAAAGCTGTAACACAAATTACCGATTTATCTATTTATTATGAGTTTTTAAATTTAAAAAAAAATCTAATTATACAAGAATTATTAATATAAAAAATATTTATTAATTGATATAAAAAATAAAATAATTTTTCTAAACATCTAACACAAATTACAGTTTTTTAATAAAATAAAATCTAATTAGACAACGATATATATATTTTTAAAGAAAATAAATAATTTCTATAAAAATGTACTACAAATTACCTATTTTATTTTCAATAAAACTCTATCACATTAAAGAAGGATATATTAAAAGAGTTTCTATAAAACACTTACACAAATTAACTATTTTATTTTCTTTGAAACTCTATCACATATAACATTTATTTATCTATTTATTATGTGTTTTTTAATAAAAGGAAATCAAATTAGACAATGATATATTTAAAAAAAATAATAATAATTTCTATAAAACTCTACCACAAATGACAAATTATTTTATAAAACTCTACCACAAATTATATATTTTATTTTCTATAAAATTCTATCACATTAGATAATGATATATTTAAACAAAATATATAATAATACATTTAAATAAAATATAAAAGTGCAAAGAGTTTTAACATTTCAGTATTTATTTTTTAATATAAAAAAATTATTAATTAATTTTTAAATAGTACCCTATCACATATAACCTCTGTATTTATCTATTTATAAAATCTAATTCAACAATATATATATTACTAGTAAAAAGCATGTGCGATGCACGTGATGAATGTTTTCTAATTTATCGAATTTTTCTTTTCATATATTTTTTTAACTATTTTATAGAAATTATTTTATTTTATTTATATATATCCTTGTTGAATTAGATTTTATAAATAGATAAATACAGAGGTTATATGTGATAGAGTACTATTTAAAAATTAATTAATAATTTTTTTATATTATAAAATAAATACTGAAATGTTAAAACTCTTTACACTTTTATATTTTATATATATATATATTCCACTTTTTTTTTTGGAAGGTAATATTTGTCAATTCTTGATGAAAGCCAAGTGGGTATGATCCTTCTTTGATTTCAACCTCGATTAACATGCACCTTCGTAAACTTATAACAAAAGCCGTGATTATTATATGCTCAGATAATTCAATCTTATGGTTCTTCATTATCTTTTTTTTGAAGTACATATATATATATATATATATGATAAACAAAAAAAATAACACAATTCAAATTCAAACCGAGCATGTCAACCTAGATCAGGCCGATAGGAAAATGATTCTTCGACCAAATAGTTGCAGTGAATTGCTAGAGCTATTATTTTAATTGATTAATTATGTAATAAATAAGGAAGTTGAACCATTCACTTAGTTATATTTAGTATAAATAATCAATTAAAAATTATTAGATTAGATAATTCATTACAAGTATTCGGTGCGAGTATCACTTACTCTTAATTGATTTAAACTTTTTTATGAGATATTTCTAAATACTTTATTATAAATGTTCGGTGTGAATATCACGTACTCTTAATTAATTTAAATTTTTGAGTGTGATATTTTTGAGTGCGATATTTTTAGATACATAAAAGCGATATTTTTAGATACATAAAAGGATGACTTAATAAATCATTCCCACATGACACAAGAATAAGAGATAGAAAAGAAATGTCTCCACTCATAAATAAAATAAAAAATAAAAAAAAGTTTCTATCTTGTTACTTTATTTTATTTATATGTGTATACAGTATATATGTCTACAACCCTGAATATAAATGAAATGTTGCAGCGAGGTACACGAGGTAATAAACAAAGGAATAATAATTTTTCAGTTGGTTAGCCCGTCATTGTTGGCACATAGAGGAGACAAGAAAAGAGGGAGGAAAAAAGTTTACTCTCTCCTCTAATAAAAGTTAAAAAATTTGAATACATTAATATATATTCAATGCAGTTAATTTATATAATTAATACCACCCAATTTCATCCCTACTTTTACGCATTATTATATGTATACATAAACATTATATATATATTCAATGCAGTTAATATGCGTGATTAATACTTAATAGAATTATATACAAAAGTTAAAACATTTGAATACATTAATATATATTCAATGCAGTTAATTTATATAATCAATACCACCCAATTTCACCCCTACTTTTACGCATTATTATATGCATACATAAACATTATATATATTTATTATATTTGTATTACATGCACAAGTGATAAAGAGAACATTGCCACGTATGTAACGGGGGTTCATTTTATACTATTTATATCATGATTGATTGGATTGTCACTATCGAATCATAACCTGCCATGTGCACTGTTGGTCGTTTTTGTAATTATCTAATCACTCTCTCTCGAGTGATTGAACAAAATGAAGAAACTGCTCAAATTTATGAGATTTTGTGGGTCCCACCCTTTTGGGTGGAAGAAGACGAAACCATCAGCAAAACATGGATTCGTTCTTATCATAGGTTCCTTCTCATCCAAATTGTATGATATATAATGGAGCTAGACCACATTACCAGCAATGAATTGAGGAGAGAGAGGAGAGTTTTGGTTGTTAGTATTCAATCAAATTGGACTTTTGTTGAACTCAAGCAAAGCCAATTTTAAGCCATTTCCGAGTTCCATCTCAATGTCACCATGGGTGGGTTGTTTCTCTCTCTCTCTCTCTCTCACACATACAATTCGTCATTTGTGAGATTCCTTACATCCGATTACTATTTTCAAGATCAATTTAGATTCGAATTCCTGCCCTTTTCTTTGAAAAGAGAAAATTTGTGTTAACTGGACTAGTGTCTATTTGATTCCGGACACACTTAATGAAGACAGATCATGTATTTGCATAGTAATAATCAAGTCTGAAATCAAAATATGTTAGTTTCATTCTCTGCCTGACTAACCATTTCAAGATTAATCAAAATACACTTAATGAAGACATAAAGAGAGTAGATCATGTATGTATATGCATACGTGATATCAACCTCGAAATCAATATGTTAGTTTCATTGATGTTGTTTGAGAGGAAGTGAACTAAATACAAATCTAATTTTGAGTACAACTTACACAAAATATTTATGCTGAAAGTATTTTGTACCTTATCACTTCATCTTAATCAAATACAACTAACCATAGATTAGGTCATTATGGTACTTTTCGTGAGCACAAATCTATTCATTGTTTGACATAAATAAAATTATTATAAATCTTTTTTAAACCAAGATAAAAAAATATTTTAACACTTAAATTAAGAATTTCATCTTAAAGAAATGAATTTAAGATGAAATCATAATGAACAGACAGATGATTAACAAATAAAGATTGTCGAAACAAACTCATTTCAATACGGAACAACTGTAATGATTAACATGTGTTCTGGCTAAGGGAATTTTTTTTATTGAATGATTAACATGTGTTCTTGCCAAGGAATTTTTTTGTATTGAATGATTAACATGCGACTACAATCCCAACTGTGGATAGCATAATTCAATGGATGAAATTCCCTTCTTACCTGTCAATAAAATAGAAAGTTTGTGTCAACAATACTCTTGATCGAGCAGGTTATAGGGGTAAATTGGACATTTTATCCAATTGTTCCTGGATTGGAATTTCCTGACAAGTGGTGTAAGTTACTTCCACCACACACACACGTAAACAGCTGGTCGTATGAATATCCACGTCAACACTACAACTGGGCCCCACAATCCCAGCCACCACAGTCTGACGTGGCACGCACTTTTGGACTAGTCCCCTTCATTTGCAGTCAAAAACCACATAAATCCACGAGCTTGTACATTCTTGACAAAAAAAGTCCTTATAGTCAAATGTGACAAAGTAGACCGCCCAATCATGTACAACAGTAGAAGCACAAAAATTCCTCTGAATATCCTGGATTCGAGCACAGAGGATAACAGCTCATTCTCTCCTCCAAAACATAATTTGTTTTAAGTAATTTCTTGCTGTTACATTATTGATGAGAGAGCATAGAACAATCACACGGCTTCCAACGTACAAGAAACTGCCTCTCTCTCTCTCTAACTTTCTCTCTCTAAACTGACCTCGTCTGGTTGAGGACAAACTGGGCTTCGAATTGGATGGCCAATTTGGTTTTGTCTAAGCTGTGAAGGCTCTGATTATCTGAGTTTTTGCTTCGGAGGTATCTATTCATTTATCTATGTATGTGTGTGTGTGTGTGTGTGTGTTTGTGTGTGTATATATATATTTATGTGTATCTATAGTTTTTTTTGCTTTGAATCTTTGTTTGATATTAGGGTTGCTTTGGAAAACTGAATTGGAACAGTTGAAGGTGGGTCTTTGGAAAATCATTTGATTTTATATGCGTTTTAAAAAACTTGAGCTTTGAACAATTTCTTTACGCATCAATGTTGGATCAATCAAAGATTGAAGTTAATAGTTTCGGAAGATTCGATCTTTTTAGTTTCTATCTTTCACTCGGTGAAGGTGAATCGGTGGAATTATAGCTTTTTAGATGAAATTTGAGCTTTGAACAATTTGTTTACACTTCAATGTTGGGTAAATTAAAGATAGAAAGAGTCAATCTTTTTAGTTTCTAGGTTTCGCTCGGTGAATCGGTGGAATCATAGATTTTTAGGTGGATTGCATGATTATTTATTTTGTCCTGTTTTAATGTCGTTACATTTTTGACCCATATTTCTCTAGCTGGTCGAGGACTCGGTTCTAGAATTCTCTTGTACCCCATTGTACAGGGGCGTTTAGGGTTTGGGGTGTGTCACGAGAGAACACTGAAAATCTTAGGAAAGAGAGTGAGAGAGCTAGGGTTTGGGGCTGAAACTTGTAATTTCCTGATCTTTGCATAGTGAAATCTTACGCCGGATCTTCACCGTCGACATAGGCTTATGCCGAACCACGTAAATCTTTGGCGTGTTTACTTTTCTAACGTGATTCTTGGTTGTGTTATTAGTTCATGGTGTTTGTTGTAACAGTTTTAATGAATATTTTAAAGCTAATTGTATTTGAAATCTTGATCTCTTTATGGTAGAAAAGGAGTTGTCCTCTTCGGGAACATATAGTTAAAACAAGCTGATTTTATTAGGTTAAATTTGGGTCTTTGGATTTCAAGTCATTTCTGTTCAAAATAATGTTTAGGAGTATGCAATTGGTTTGGTTGCTAAGAAAATTGAGGAGAAAGAATCGTTACTAGTGTTTACCCTGCAAAAAGAGTTTGTACTTATGTGCTTTGTTTTTTGTATATATCTCTGTTTAATTGGTCAATACTTATTTTAGTTTTCCTACAACAGGATTAATTGTGGATCAATCTTCTGTCTCATCCTTCATTGAATCTGCCTGCATTTTCTTTTCCAATTCTGTTGCGGGTGCAACGGTTTTTGGGTGTATTTATGGCTGTCACATTTACACATTTGTCTTGGTGGTTGTGGAGTGGAAAGCATCAAGAGCCTAAAATATCCAATGGGTCTTCTTTGAATTCTTCACCCGATTCGGGCATGTTGGAACTGGATACGGTTAAATTCCCTTTGGTTAGTAGGGGAAATATGGCTCCCCCATCTAGAAGGGTTAAGCGAAGATGGCATAGTCGGGAAGAACGAAAAATTGACAGGGAATATGATGTTGTTCTGGTGCCATCAGATGGAGGATGTGTGTCTGGGTCCGAGTCCGATGACTCGGATTGGTCCATAGGATGGTTGGAGCCTCACGGCCCTGGTTTCCAGAGCGATGATGATTCAGAGGATAGTTATGCTGTGCTGGTTCCTTGCTATGGACGTGGTCACGAGGATATGGAGGAGAATTCAAAGGCCAGATTTTGGGATACCATTGGCATAGGGAACATCCCTGATATTTATGATAATGGTAAGGGTCACTTTCTGCAATTTTTTTCCGTCTTGTTTGCATTTGTTGTACAATCTTCATTTGAATTATTTCCTTCTTTTCGTTTCTTTGCTGGTGAAACTTTATTGCTTGCTTGACTGTGATGTTGTGATACATGTCTTCAATGAAATTGGTCGATAAATTGTCTTTTAGATACTGCATACAAGCAACTTCCGCTGCATACTTATTAGTATCACAATCGTATCAATTTCAGATGGCAAACTCTGGAGTCATTTCTCATAATAGTTGAGTTGGTCGCTATATTGTTAAGCGGAATATTAGGATCAAATCTTAGCCTTTTGTCAACTTTGAGTTTATATGGTTAAACGGAATATTTGAATTCAAATCTTAGCCTTTTGTCCTCGTTGAGGTTGTTGGTGATCTTTTTGCAGCCAGACTCTTTATTAGGATGGGTAAAATCACAGCTACAAAATCAGTCTGTAGTTAATTGAAAGCAGCTAGTACAATCTATAGTCTTACTACATAAAAAGCGAATTTTTACTTCAGGCTTGAATGGTAACATTCTAGTTAAGTAGAAAATATATTTCCTCGAGGAATTCTATAACCTTCCTGACGATCGGCAACTCTGTTCGACTAAGCTTTGATTTTTTTTTCTTTTTGATCGCTATATTGTTAAGCGGAATATTAGGATCAAATCTTAGCCTTTTGTCAACTTTGAGTTTATATGGTTAAACGGAATATTTGAATTCAAATCTTAGCCTTTTGTCCTCGTTGAGGTTGTTGGTGATCTTTTTGCAGCCAGACTCTTTATTAGGATGGGTAAAATCACAGCTACAAAATCAGTCTGTAGTTAATTGAAAGCAGCTAGTACAATCTATAGTCTTACTACATAAAAAGCGAATTTTTACTTCAGGCTTGAATGGTAACATTCTAGTTAAGTAGAAAATATATTTCCTCGAGGAATTCTATAACCTTCCTGACGATCGGCAACTCTGTTCGACTAAGCTTTGATTTTTTTTCTTTTTGTTTCATTTCATTCTATCCATGTTAGCTGACAGATAGAAGATGAGGGAAGTTTTTGTATGCTGCATTCTCAACTTATAAAATCCTCAAAGCTTCATTTTGGTATTTTTTTTGCTCAAACCGGTATTAAAAACCTGAACTGCAGGACTTGACTGTTTTGGCCATTTACTAGTTTTAAGTCATCACTGAATTTCTGTCAAACCAAAAAAACATATGCAAGAAAAGTTACGTTTTTCTAGTTATGTAATGGACTTTGGAGCAGTTTGAATTTTCAAACGAGCTCACAGAATGCTCAAGTTGTTCCTGAAAATCAAGGCCTGACTACTCTCCATTTGGGATTGCCGTCATCATTCTCCTTGCCTTAATCCCATATGAATGGGGTCAGCCATAGCCATTTTGGATTGTAACCTTGGAATTTGTGTTCATTTTAGTTTTCAAAATATTTTCCTGCAAAGCACATTAAACTTCTAAAAGAGATGAAATTGAATGTGGTTATGGCATTTTATTCTAGTGGAATTTCATATCTTTTCTGAAGTGCAAACTCAAGAGACTGAAGTAAGAACTAAGAAGAAAATATGGCAATTCCAAATATACATTGAGGTCTTCTTTAGTTGATGCATCCTCCTATTCTCACAAATAGGCTTAGAAGTACATATATGATTTCTCTCTTAATTATCAACAACAATGGCAAGCCTTTTCCCCAACTACATGCATCCTATGTTTCCATTCTGCTCCTTGGTCACATCACATGCTATCATATCCTTTCTTACTAACTCTACTCACATTAACTTTGGTCTTCCTTTTACCCTATTATTATCCTCAATGTGGACTATATCGCTCTTCCTAATTGATGCACTTAAAGGTCTTCTTTGCGCATGACCAAACCATCTTAACCGATCTTCTCTCATTTCATCTCCCAATTTGTGCTAGTCCAAGCTTCTCTCGAATGTAATCATTTTTAATTCTATCCTTTCTAGTCTTGCCGCACATCCATCTCAACATTCACATTTCCGCCACATTCACTTTAATTCATATGTTGTTTCCTAACTGCCTAACATTATGTGCCATAAAGTATGGCTGGTCTAATAGTTGTTCAATAAAACTCTCTTTTAATTGTAAGGGACTACGCCTATCTCACAGTATACTAGATCAGTCATCCATTTAACCCATCCCACTTTGATTCTATGACTAACATTATCTCTAATTTCTCCTTCTATATGAATAATTGAGCTTAAATAACGAAAATGTTCACTTTTTTTATTCTCAATCCTCACTACATCCTCATTTGTATTTCTAGATCTACTAAAGTTACTCTACATGTATTCAGTTTTATTTCTACTCTTCCTAAACCATTTTAATTACAAAGCTTCTCTCCAAACCTCCAATTTGGCATTAACTCCTCTAGTTTCATCAGCTAAAACAATATCATCGACAAGTAACATACACCTTGGAATATCATCTTGGATGTGTCTTGTCAGCTCATCCAAAACCAAGGCAAAAAGGTATGGGCTTAATGCTGACGCTTGATGTAAGCGTACAGTTTTGAAAATTCACAAGTTTCCGCTACATGCGTTCTAACTATAGTCACACAACCATCATAGATGTCTTTTATTATGTCATCCCTTTGTAACTCCTTTCTTTTCTAAAACCAGCTTATTAGATCTTTAGGTACTCTATCATAAGCTTTCTCCAGATCGATAAAAAACCATATGGAGACCTCTCTTCTTCTCTTTATATTTTCCATTAGTCTCCTCAATAAGTAAATAGCCTCTACTGAATGAAAAATGATTCCGACAATTCAATCTCGTCTTAGGCGTTGTTTAATCACTTCCTCCTAAAGTTTCATAGTTTGTCTCATTAATTTAATGCCACGATAATTATTACAACTTTATGCGTCTCCTTTGTTTTTATGTATCAACATTAGAATACTTTTGTGCCACTCATCAAGCATCCTCGTAGTTGTTATTATCATATTAAACAATTTTGTTAACCAAGACAAACCAGCTTCTCCTAGTCACTTCCTAACCTTCATTAGGAACGCCACTGGGTCCCAAAGCCCTTCCCGATTTCATCTTCCTTAAGGCATTTCTCTCTTAATTGTATTATATTTAAATGATTAAGACACGTATACAATTCTGTTCTCAGTATATTGCAAAAACAGTAAAAAACAAAATTTGATGAAAGAAGTGCCAACATTTTTTCAAGTTTCTGTATAATCTGAGATAGATAAACTGAGTAGCCAAAGTTAACATGACTATGATATAGTAGTAACTAAACTAAGCAGTATGCTTTATAAAATGCAATTCCACTGTAGTAAAAGTCCTTCAAAAGTGTATTTTATATAGAGTTGGGTTATGGCGGAGACCTTGCATAGTAGTATCCGGTATGTTTCTATTATATGTCTTTTGGGTTATTCCATCTTCGTTCTCTCAATGGTATTGGTTTTAGTAAGTTGTGCACCATAAATCTTCGGGAAAAAAAAAATGTTGTGCAGTGTAAATTCTTTTAATTCACGGTGGGTAGATGTGATGTATTTTTTATGTTATGCAAAGGTATCTACAAGAGAATGTTGTGCAAGGCTTTTTTTGGTTCTGATAGGTGAGAGGCAACTAGGTCATGTATGGAATGAAATTATGGGGAACGCCTTGTCAAATGCCAATTAATAATGGGGTATTTTAAAGCCACCATATTAAAATAACAAATAAAAAGGCAATCATTTGGTTTCTTAAGAATTTAGGAATTTCCTAAGCCATCCGTTTGTTAAGTCATTCCAACATTTTTTCCCATTTCCTATTTTTCTTATCTGTTTGACCATCTTAGTTAATGTTAGTAAAATATTTGAAATGAGGTTGCCTTGTTAGATTTCCGGTTCCTAGTGCTGTATCTCACTATTGAATGTTTTGTTATTGTTATTTTTCCAAACCAATCTTCTTATTGATTTGTGGGCATATGCATTTATCTAAAAGGAAATATGAATTCCGATTTCCTATTGTCCTAAGATTTATAATTTAGGTTGAGTTTTTATTTGCATTTGCTTTATTGTGTAGAGGGCAAGAAGTATATGGAACAGTGGCTCTCTTCTCTCCAGAATAGCTGACATCAAGAGTGCTCTTGGTCTAAATATCAGATCTTTGTTACACCGTCTGTTCTCCTTGGTTATCTTTGAGACGAACTTATTCCATTATCTTTGTCACTGCAATTGAAAGAGAAGAAGGAGAAATCTATAATAATAAAAATTAAATAAAAAAAAAAAAAAAAAAGAGGAGGGAAAAAAAAAAAAAAAAAAAAAGACTGGTTTATTGTAAGATTACTAGTAGAAGAGGATTGGCTTATGTTGGTGTTCCAGCTAATATTTTCTGGAGAAGAATGAGCAGAAGATTGCGGAATCATGGTGCCTGAAAATCATTTGCATCCAGAGTTAACTGCAAAGTAATGACCCCTGGTTATCTCCAGATTGATGTAAGGTGTGAATACCGTGTGATATGAACTGCCAAGCAAAAAGGAAAAAAAAGGAAAAAGAAAAGTAGGCTTGTGTTTATGCGTGGTTGATTGCATATTCTTTGATGTAAATATGGTTGGTTGTGTATATAAAAAGTAGGTTGATGCTGTATTTTATTGTCACTGTAAATATTCTGAACATCGAAAAAGAAAAAAGAAAAAAATTGACTGTAAATAATATGACTATGTATTATGTTGTTACTGCTGTAAATAAAATCTCTGCTGTTGATAACTGTAAATAATATGACTATGTATTATGTTGTATTTTATTGTCACTGTAAATGTTTTAAGGTTGATGGAAAACAATGCAGATGAGGAAGGTAAGTGAATGAGATGACCATTCCATTCTTGCAACATTCTCTCGTTCCGTTCCGTTCTCACTCTATTCCATTCCATGTAGCCTAAAAAGACACATTTGAAGAGGAGAGGAACATGAAATATTCTTGTCCTAACAACTCGGTTGATGTTACCTTAATGCTTTCAAGTAGGACAGATCCCACTTTTCTTCTCTCTTTTTCCAGCCTCTTTATAGTTGACACGTACCATAATATAAAACCAAAAATTGGAATAATTTATAATCAAGAAGGCAAAAGTTATACAATAAAATTGAAAAAAAAAAAAAAGAAGTATGGTGTAGATAGATTACCGACAGGGCCTCTATGAGTGTGTATCAAATGAAATAATGAAAAATAAATAATAAATAAATATAATAAATAAATAAAATAGAGAGAGATTGTGCGAGCAGAAAAGGGCAAAAGAGAGAAACGCCACACAAAGGTGATATGGTTAGGAAGGTTAGGACTCCAAATTTGTGCGAGAAAATTGGGAGAGATGAGAGTTTTTTATTTTTTATTTTAATTTGTAAGAAACTAACACACTCATTTTGCCTCTACGAATACTTATTCTTTGTTTAGAAAATGAAGAAGTACTACTAGTCTATAATCGTTGGTGGAGAAATGAGAGACTTAGAATGAACAAGACACTCTAGTAAAAAAATGAGAGTTTATGTTAGGTTTTAGTTTTTGATGTTGGAGTCTTCCAAGTGTTTCAATTTTCTATAGAAATAGTTCCTTCTTTGATGCAATCCACAGAACTTAAATTGTTTGACTGTTCATGTAAGAAACGACTTGCTCGACAATAAACACTAATACTTTCTATTTTGCCAAATATAAAAAGGATCAATGATACCTTTCAAATTCGAAGAATGTCGAAAAGGAATTATGTGAGTGAAGGCGTTGGTACCACCATATGACATTATGTGGAAGGGCTCATGCCCCCACTCACCAAAGGCGCAGAGCCAGAGTTTCAATTATGGGCACAATGTAAAAAATAATAAATAAATAAATAATAATCAACTAATATAAATTGTTCAAATCTAAAGGTAAAATAATAGATAAATAAAAAATCATTACAAAATAATATGTTAATCATATATGAAGATAAATATTGTTCAAATCTAAAGGTAAAATAAAAATAAAAATAAATAAATAAATCATTACAAAATAATATGCTAATCACATATGAAAGATAAATATTGACAAATGTAAGAACAAAAATATTGATTAGGAATAAATCTTTTGAATACAGTTGTAGGTCTTTATATTTAGAAAGCCATGCATGGATTTATACCAATTGGGCTCATGAATTTTTACTAATAAAATTTAAATAAGAAGAAGAGAAATAGAAAGAACAAGAAGCTAAAAGAAAATTGCATACTTACACCATAAATAAGTGTGAACAGAATAAATTTAAGTACAAAAAAGTAGAAAAAGGAAATGAAAAAAAAAAAGAGAAAAAGAGAGGGAACTCAGAAAGGAAAAAAAAAAATAGAGTTTGATTGAGAAAGGAAATTAAAGGAATTTGAAGAATAAAATAGCAAAGAAAGAAAAAGTTAAAGAGATGATTTTAGAAATTAAAAGTTTTATATATTATATATGTGTAAACAATTGAAAAAAATAACCGTATACATTTAGGGGCGGGGCAGCAGAATGTTGCACATTAAGCCCTTTTATTTGCCTATGTTGAGCATCTCCAATTAAAATATTCTTTTGTGTAAAATATACACTGTCACCTATGAAGTAAAAAAATTTTCCATCTCCAACAGTCTGTTAAGATACATTGCCACATCAATAATGTGTAAAAGGATTGTGTATTTTACACAATCATTTTACACTGCCAGATCCACATATTTCCTTTCTCATCCCTCTTTCTCATTCTAGTAAAGAATCAACATATATTTAGTAAGTTTGTAAAAGTTTTATGAATCCTGGCAAGACACGTTGTTTGTTGTTATTGGGAAATATATTTTTACACAAAAGTTATAAAACAACCATTGGATATAAAATTAAATAATCTAACATTTTTGTGTAAATTCATCATGACACATCATATTTATACAAAAAAATATACACAACGGTTGGAGATGCTCAGGTTGTTTTTGTGTCTTTGCTACTTTCAGGCTTTTATCCTCAAAATCAATTATAACCGACAATTTCGGGCTTCCAAATGGAGATCTTAATCGGGCTAATTTGCAACCAAAGTGGCAAGCTTCTTGGACCATGATCATGGTAATTTCTGGACTTAAATTATGATGGAAATATTGGGCCGAATCACAATTCAAGCCCAAGACCAAATTGGGCCACCTCATGAGTCCCAGATCCTGAGAACAAGACATAAAGTTTTGATCATGACTGGTCGTCGCCTATTGCAGCAAAAGCAACAACGGCACGCGCGCAGCACAGACCTTGGCACAGGCCTCGGCACTAGACGGCCGGTCGTCGCTAGCTTGGAGATGGTGTTCCCTTCAACCATTGAGGCCTCTACGTTGTCCATGAGCAACAAACTTCCTCACTAGGGAGTTGATGTAGCCTTTTCCAAGTAACCATGGTATAATTTGTGTTTGAATTTGGGGAAATATACGTATGCATATAACAAGTTGCTTAACTTTGATATTACATTTGCCATACTCTTTTAATTGATTTTTAATGCTTATAATCATTCTTGATGAAACCCTTTTTTTTTTCTTTTTTTTCTTTTTTTTTCTTTTTTTTGGGTCTTAGAAAGCTTCTTTGTCTTGATTGAAACCAAAATCATCCTTCTAGTGACAAAAATGATGGTGGTTATGCAATGGTTTTCATGGTATACAATGCAAGAACTTTGATAGGTCATACTTAGGGAAGACGAGTCGTCCTACACCTTAGTATAATGTAGTTAGGTAGACGATTCATGTCAACCGAAGATGGGCTATCCTTAGTTTGTATGTGCATTCATCTTAATGACGATTTTGTTGTTAGCTTAACGCCACATGAATCATGGCTATACATTATGTGAATTTCCCCATGTTAAAACACATTTGACCATAGTTACGAGGGTGTGGTGAAGTCAATTCCATAGCCGTTTTTCTCTCATTATCTTCATCATTTTTATTTAATTCTTGCTTTAAGTAGTTAATGCCGTTTTCTTTAAGTTGAGAAACAAACAAACAATCCTCCATTTTTAGATTAAACCGGAAGTAATCTCAAGAATTTAACGGCTATAAACTTCACAGTCTTCGTGGTTCGACACCCTTTACATAGTCTTATCCTGCAAGGACTCGTGATATTACGAGTGGTTTTATTATTAAAAAAGAGTAAAACATTTCTACACATCAAGCATGTGACACCCTTAGGCCTACATTGGCTCCGCTTTTGACACTTATATTACCCTCATTCGGCATTCTCAGAATTTAAAGGATGTACCATTTTCTGACAAAAAAGAGCAATGATACATCCTCTAAATTCAGAGGATGACAAATGAAAAATATGTGAGTAGGGTGTGAGTCATACCACACGACATCATGGGGCTCACGCCCCCACTCAAATTACCCTCATTCGGCATCCTTTTAATTTAGAGGAGGTACCATTTTCGACGATAGAGAGCAATGATTCATCCTCCAAGTTCGGAGGATTTCAAAAGAAAATTATGTAAGTGGGGACACCATCATTAGTTATTTTTTTAATTCAGGGGATGTACCATTTTTCAAGAAAGAGCAATGATATATATTCATCTAATTTGGAGAGTGCCGAATAAGAATTATGTGAGTAGAGGCGTGGGTTCTACCACGTGACATCAACTTCATTCGATATCCTTAGAGGATGTTCTATTTTCTGACAAGAAAACAAGAAATTAATTAATGCGGTTGGTAATTGAAATGTAATTAATGTTACCATTAGGTTCTGTTTGGATTGATAAAAATAGCAAGAAAAGAAATGAAATGGGAAATGAAAAGAAAAATGATTTTCTAGGATGCATTTGGTTACGAGAAATTTTTTCTAAAAAAGTTGGAGGAAAATATCATTTTATAGTTTGGATAAAAAGAAACTTAGTAGAAAACATTGTACTTACCTAAACTACCCTTATTATATAAAATAGCATAAGAATAAGATTAATTTGTCTTTCACTAGTCCTATACCACATTGTTTAGCTAATTATTTATTCCTTATTTTTAATGTCTAATTGACATGTAACAAGGTCCATGAATAACAATGTATAAAAGTTGAGAAATTTTATTCTTCAATAATTTTGTAAATAAATGAATTTGAGTATAATGCTATCAATAAACTAAAAATTAATTAGTAATATATATATAAGATAGACTTTTTAAGTTAATACAGACCCACAAAGTTAATATTTATTTGATTTCCATATCTAATGGAAAACAATAATCCATAGGAAAAAGGAAGTCCTTGTTGGTGTGAAATTCTTTCAAACCCAATAAAAAAACAAAAGAATGAAGTTGTTGGGTAATATAGGAACCTAGAAAAATAGCCACTCCTTTCCCGCAAAAATTGTTTTTGTGCAGAAAACGTTTTGGGGGAAAGTAGTTGCAAAAATCCTACTCTCCTAAAAAAATTTCTTTTCGCACTAACCAAACTCCTAACAAATTTAATTTTTTCCCTTTCTTGCTACTTCATGCTAACCAAACCAACCTTTAAAGTCCAGCACTTGATTGCCCACTGGGAAATCAGATTGAGATAAAAGCTTGTGAACCTTGAAAAATCCCCTTTAAAAAACAATATAAATAAAATAAAATTAAAAAAAAAAAAAAAAAAAGAAGTAATGAAAAACACTAAAATCAATTAAGATTTCTACCAAAATTGTGCCATCTCCTAATGAAATTTTATTTACACAAGAGTCGCTTGATTTACACAAGAGTCGCAAGCGAAAAACATTCGGTGTGTGTAACTCTTTTATACGTTTTAAAAAGTCTCTAATATTTAATTTTGGAGCAAACAAATAACTCATAGTCCTCATGGTGTCACTTACATTCGTTCCTTAATCTAAATGATAGATGGCAATCAATTGGTCACTTTCAGGAATCACATCCCAGAATATTTTATCCCGTTCTTACCCTCCCAACCTCCCTCCTCAAAAAGGAGGCACTGAAGAAATAGAAAATCATTAACGAGATTCTGAAAGTGGTCCACACCTGAGAAAGTATTAAATACCCCGCGGTACGGTACCTGGGGGCAATGGGAACCGTTGGATCATAAAAGTGGTGGTGAACCCCACCAGACCCAAGGGCTGGGATGACCCGTGGTACCATACCTGGGTATTTAATATTTTTTCACCCTAACACTAAGAAAAAAAGGATACTCAAATCTAGAAACCCTATACCCAAAATAATAATAATAATAATAACAAAAAAAAAAAACAAAAACAATGTTGCCAAAGCAGCATTTAAGTGTCCAAAGGAGACCTTTTAAATGACATATGCCTTTCTCCAAACAAAATCAGCCCTTGTATATTCCTAGATAAATAAGCACCCAGTCATACGAGAAACATGTAGAGCATTGAGATAGATTCACACCACAAAATTTTAATTTCCACATCTTCCAAACATCTAAATTTACACTAAACAGTACCTTAACAAAACCAATAAAAAATGGACAACACTAACCAAATCACCGGTGAGTAAGTACTCTCTACCGACCACTGATGTGATCTAATCTTATACTGACACATCACTTTTAGTTATTAATTAAAAAAATTAGATATGTGTGCATTTGTAATTAGATCACATCAGCAGTCACTAGGAAGAACATACTCACCGGTGATTTGTTAAGTATTGTCTCAAAAAAAGGAGGGGGGGGGGGGGGGGGTGGGGGAAGCAAATGATTAAATAAAAATTGTCATTTTGCACAGTCACTTTAAACTGGCCACTCCTGACTAGGTTCCAGCTGCTGCTTCGCTTAGGAGCTCCATTTTTTCATCACTTCCATCAATTATCATGCTCGATGCATCTTGTTTCCCATCCACGATTTGATTCTCACAATTTTCCTCAACGGAACACGGGCTCTTACCTCCTACCTTAATTTCATCTTGTTCAATTTTACCCTCGGTCACCTGATTGCTAATGTCAACAGTCTCAACACTCGATGGATGTTTAGAATTCTCAACAAAATCCATTTCACAACTCAAATTTGCTGTTGAGTTTGGTAGAGCAGTTGGATCTTCTTGAGCTTGCTCTTTTGGTGCGTTGCCTGAAATGGAAGATTGATCTTCTGCAGCACAATCTTTTCCGGCATCGCCTGAAACAGAAGCCTGATCCTCTTGGACTTGTTCTTTCGGTGCATTGCCTGGAACAACAGTTTGATCTTCCTGGATTTGCTCTTGCAGTTCATTGCCTGAAACTGCAACTTGATCTTCTTGAACTTGCTCCTTCAGTACATCGCCAGAGCCAGAACCTATACCATCTTTTGCAATTTTAACATCAACTTCCATTGCCGAATTAGAAGAAGCAACATTGGTTGCTTCAGATGACGTATTTGATGCCGTGGCAGTACTGCTTGGGTTAAGTTGAACAGTCGGCACCGCAGGTTTCATAGAATGGCCCTGCACTTGAGTTACACTACTCCACGAGGCATTTGATGGGGCAGCAGAATAAGAGGAAAGTGGTATAGCTGCCAGACCAGTCCGAATGTAATGAACATTTGGAAGACCAGCTAAGTGAGTACTAGGCAATGAATTTGTATTGCCTGCCCCAGATGGTTTGATCAAGGAACTCCCTCCAGCCATGATATGAACAGCATTATTTGCCTGTGCGGCCTTGAGCAATGATGCTGCATCTGATGGGGAAGCGATGCGGGCTCCAGCATAAACTGCAGCAGCTTTTACCAAAGCATCCGGGCCTAGAGGAGATTTCACAGACGTCTTTTTTGAGGTCACTCGAGATTTTGAAGACGGCCCAGAAGTTCCTGTTTGAGCTGTGGTTGTTGGGACAGACCCTAGTTGGGACTGATTTTGGGCTTGTGAAACACTACCACCAACTGACGGAGCTTCACCAACAGTAGGTCGTGAAGAGTTACTGGGCATAGTGTTTGAATTTGTTCCACCTGTTCCCACATAACTATATATTAACAAATTTTTGCATAACTTTAACCAAAAGAAATTAAATATATATATATATTTAAATGGGAAAATCTCAGTAAAATAATCACAATTTTGGCAATTTGAAAATTTAGCTTTTGATTTTTGGCCTTCGGCCTTTCAAAACTCAAATGATACTCTCTTAACACCATTTCAAACAGTCCATGCAGCAAGAAACAAATAAAGTCATTTGTACTTATTCCCCACTTCCCTCTTCCCCTTTTCATTATTCATACTGGTTTCAGCTCAAGTTCCTAATTGGCTAATTCATATTAATTGGTTCATAGAAATAATCCCTCAAACAATATAAAGTGACAAAAAATAAAATTTCTCCCCCAAAATAGCATAAACAATGCCAACACAATCAGGCATGCAGTGGATGTGTCAGGTTTCAAGGCAAATTTATTTGTTTAATTACAGAAGAAATATAAGATAATGAAGGAAAATAATTTAATACAATATTGCATGAAAATTGTTTGAAATATTCAGTTCCTCAAACAATATAAAATGCCCCACTCACGAAACCTGTCGCCCTTGTCTGTCCATGCAATATAAGTCTACACTAGAAATCAAATGTACGTCCCCCACTGTTCAATTAATTGGTCACCACCCACTGTGCAGTCAATGACTCAGCCATAATGTATGCAGATACTAATGACCTTCCACAGAACCTAATATAACGATAACATATGGCCAAAAAATGGATTCCAAATGAAGTGGTCAAGATGGCCCATTCAATATCCTCATAAAAAGGTGAAATTCACAGAACAATTGAGAATTAGTAGTCATGGTAAAGTCAGCAAGAATTAAAAGGACAAAGAATCTTGTGGTAACTGGTATATTAGCTGTTTGCCAGGTCAAGCACTTGCATACAATAAAGCTAGTACAAGATGCATAGAAAATCACCAGTACTCATTGAGCAAGCTGCAGTTAAGTTATCCATCGGCATATTAAGTGCAAGAGACAACACATGCCGAGTTGCCAGATGCGCCTCAGAATATTGTGAGCCACCTCCCACATTCAAGTTGCCCTGCCGCTTCCTGATAATGGCCCACCTCTGCACATACCATGTTCCCATGAATATTTGTAGGAAAGGCAATTAGAAACCATGATTTAAACACTATTTACAATATATGGAAAAAGGTTCAAACTTCATTGATGACCTATCCTATAATTAACTCAAATAATTTAGATAATAGTAGAAAATATACGGCAGAAGTATTCCGTTGCCGGGATTTGAACCCGGGAAACCTGGGCAAAACCCAGCCATCCTAACCATACTAGATAACAACGGATTGCTGCTTACCAGAAAAAATAAAAATAAAATATAAAATATTGAGAGAGAGAGAGAGAGACAGAGAGAGAGACAGAGCATAACAACAACAGATTGCCATAAGATAGCGTTTCTGTTAAGTACAAATTCATGATGGGAACCTAAACTTTGAAAATGGCCAAAGAACAAATATCTAAACTTAGAAGTGCTGATTGTTCAGTGATATAGAAAGATCTGCTAACAATGGGTTCATTTCATCATAGCACAAAAATATCAAACCAGCTTATTAATGAAACCAAATTCAACTGGAATATACAAAGCAAAACCAAATTCAAGTTCCAGTTTAAGAAAGTCAGAGGAAGAACAGTTATTAGCAATTAGTCAGCCATAATTATTGCCAGGTGATTAGTACTCTAAGCATGTTTTTGGAACTTAAAAAGTATAGGGGTTGTTACCAAGCAATAATGTCCATGCAACTGAAAAAATGTCAGAACCTGAAATCAGGTTCTGCAAATCTCTAATGTATCAACAAATTGGGATTAAACAAAAACTATAGATCTAACGAAGTATCAATATAGCTAAACTAAAAACGTATAAATGAAGTTCATTTAAAGAAGCCAAATCCTTTGCTATTAAGCCAGAACCATTCAAAATGAACATGTGGATAGCTGCATGTATAAATATACAACCATTTCAAGTTGAGATATAATAGATGATTAAGAAAATAACAGCATTGTTAGCAATATATAAATCTATATCTATACTATTATTAAAAGTACAAATAGTTTCAATATTTCAATACATTAATTTATTTAGTAATATAGTGGTAGGAAATACTGAAATTCAATAAAAGGAAATCTAATTAGAGAAGGAAATATAAAATATTAAAAAAAACTATTGAAATTCAATAAAAGGAAATCTAATTACAAAAGGAAATATATAATACTAAAAAACTTATTTATTTAATTCAATAAAAGGAAATTTAATTAGACAAGGAAAAACTACTAATAATAATATAGTAGTAGGAAATATAAATGGAATTTTAATTAGAGAATAAGCTATAAAGTATTGAAAAACTTATTTAATAATATATAGTAGTTGGACATACTACTACTAATAATAACATAGTAGAAGGAAATCAAATTAGAGAATGAAATATATAATATTAAAAAACTGTAATACTAAAATTCAATAAAAGAAAATCTAATTAGAGAAGGAAATAATTAAAATTAAAAATAATAATAATAATAATATAGAAGTAGAAAATACTACTACTACTAATAATAATTATAATATAGTAGTAGGAAATCTAATTAGAGAAGGAAATATATAATATTAAAAATCTCTTTTATTTAATTCAATAAAAGGAAATCTAATTAGTGAAGGAAATATACAATTTATTTCCTAGTAAATACATAACAACAATTCCATATCAAAATATACCAAGAAAATCATAAACTAAGAATTCTATACACAAAATTATTTTTATATTTAATTTTTTATAATTTATTTTAAAATTTTATAATGTTATTTATTTCAATAAATAATATGTTTTTATAATATTATTTATATATAATAAATAATAATGTAAAATTATTCTTATATATATTTTTGATCCTTTGAAAAAAATTTACTTTACTGTTATACACACACTTTCGCTCACGTGCAGCGCGAGTGCATGCACGTATACGATGGAGAGATGAGAGAATAAAAGCAAATAAAAAAGATGAGAAATTAAAATGGTAGTATTGGCTAAAAAAGTTAGTGTGATGTTGTGTCCCGAATTTGTTGTCGGGACACGTTGCGACCCGTTTCCGACCCTGTTTAGTAGTCTCTTGTAGCCAGGGCTGCAAACGAACCAAGCCGAGCTCTACCTTGCTTGGGCTCGAGCTCGGCTTGCCACTGCTAGAACTCTGCTCGAGTAAGCTTGGTCTAGCCAGGCTCGACCTTGCCTATGTATCCAACAAAAAACTCGGTTTTCAAAGATACAAGAAAATCGTGCCCTGATCTCTAATCATCATCATCAAGAGCTCAACTGCAATAATGGAATCATCAACATTAAAACAGGATTTGGAGATAAAAGAAAAGAGACCATATGAGAGAGACCGGTTGCCGGAGAGATATCTAGTGGATACTTGCTGTCGAAGAGAGATACCTACAGTGGGAGAGAGAGTTTTGTCTGAGAGGACTCAGAGGAGGCGTGGCTATGTTGAGGGGTTGTTGCAGCAGAATCTAATTAGGGTTGATATTGTGCTCACGAATCAAACGCTTGATGCAAATCAAAGCATGTGTATGTACGGGTTAATGGATTAAATGGGCTTAAAGTTAATGTGTCTGTGAGTTTGGGCTGAATTTATATTGAATGGACTAAATTATTGTACATACAATTTTGAAAAAAAAAAAAAAATTTGGGCCTTTCACTAAACAAGCTTGTTCATGAGCCTATACGAGCCAAGCCCAACACTGATCAGGCTCGGATCATTTAGTAAACGAGCCTAGAATTTGAGCTCGATGTCACAAAGTGATTCCTAAGACGCTTGGAGGATGGAAGACACGCATGCTGGTTGGCAAAGAGTAGAGTTTGACTGGGAATGGTTCCAGGGAAGGGGCGTGCAGGAGCACAGGATGGAACCTCTTCAAAGTTCAGGCAAGTCAACTTCGTTGAGTGCGAGTAACTTGTCGCTGGTCGTGGACTTGACTATGAAGAAGGGAGTTGGCCATCCTTGCACAAACTGGTCGGGAGCTGGAGCCGTTCCCCTGACGAGGCCATGACAGGCCGAAACCAGTCAGCATGTATCCTTGGGAGGGCAGGTCGTGATGACTGACCAGGGCGCTTGCGCGAGCTGAAGCAACGCCTTGGTGCCGCACGGGCCATGCCGCTGCGCCAAATCTCTAGGCCCGTGACATCGAGCTCGGCTTGTTTGCTTAACTAAGGAGCCCGAGACAAGCCCTTAGCAAACCGAGTCATGAACAGCTCGGTTCATTTGCAGCCGTACTTGTAGTTTGATATATAAGGGCGCTATAAAGTTTGGAGCGGGATTAATTGAGACACTGAAAATCGCAAAGAAAGAGAGAGTGAGAGCGAAAGCGAGAGCTAGAGTTCGGGGTTGAAACTTGTAATCTCCAATTTTTCAAATAGTGAAAACTTCTGCCAGATTTCCACCGTGGATGTAGACTTTGCTGAACCACGCTAAATCTTTGTGTGTAATTTGATTACTTTCCTGTCGTTTTTCTTGATTTGTTTTTAGGTTCGCTACGTTTATCGTAACAGTTAGGATTTTAATGCTCCATAAAAATAGGGGCAGCATATTAATTATAGCTACTGTGGCTGGTTTTGCAACCAATCACAGCAGCGAAATATGCACTTCTTAGCCCTTGGTTTAAGCTTCCCCTTATACCTCCTCTGGAGTCTTACAGTCGATAGCAGTCGATCGAGACCGGTTTACCAAGTAACTAGTTGTAAAAGCAGCTTCAACCCAAAACCCTTTGTCTAACCCTGCATTCGACAACATACACCGTGCCCTCTCCAATAGCGTTCTATTCATCCGTTCTGCAACTCCATTCTGTTGTGGAGTCTTCCTCACTATGTGATGCCTCACAATCCCGGAAGTCTTACAGAACTCATTAAATTCTCCATCACAAAATTCTAATCCATTATCTGTCCTCAAGCGCTTGACCTGTTTTCCAATCTGCTTCTCAATCAAGGCCTTCCACTCAGTGTTATTAAAAGCGCGCCTAGGCACGCGCCTAGGTGCAAGGCGCCTTCAAGCGCAACTTATGCGCCTCATGTAAGCCCAGGCGCAGCGACCTTCACTAGGCGCACGCCTGGGATGCGCCTTGAGGCTAAGCGCGCCACATGTATTCAGTGGCTCCTTTTATATATTTTATGTGTTTCCTTTTATGTATTATGTGTTTGTTTTTATACTTTATATTATTATATATTAGTATATAGTTACAGCATTTTGGAAACTAAAAGTACAAAATGGAAACTAAATGTACAAAATGGAAAATTTGTCTTCTTGTGAGTTGTGAGGCAACCCAATGGGTCCCAATAGTCAACAAAACAAATCAATCAAGAGCAAAAGCTGCAGAAAAAAGAAAGACGTGAGGGAGTGGGAAAGAGAAGAGAAGAGAAGAGAAAGAAAGAGAGAGAAGAAAGGGCTATCAGTTGCCTCCATCCGATGAAGACGAAGCCAGGAATCAGCCTACCACGTCAGTTCAGTTATTTTTTCCTCCTCCTCCTCCTCTTCTCTTCTCTTCTCCTCTTCTCTCTCTCTCTTCATTGGCTTATTCTCTATATCTCCTTTTTTTTTTTTTTTTTTTTTTTTTTTTTTGGGTCTCTTTTTTTCTTCTTCTTTTTCTTCGTCTCTAACTCTCTCGTTTTGTTTTTTTTTTCTGGGTCTCTGTTTTTCTTCTTTCTTTTTCTGGGTCTCTGGTATATTTTTTTCTGGGTCTATTTTATTTTTTTTCTTCTTTCTTTTTCTCCAGTCTCTGTTTTTTTCTTCTAGGTCTCTGTTTTTTTTTTCTTCTTTCTTTTTCTTCATCTACTCCTCTCCCGTCTGTCTCTCTGTATCTTTTTCTCGTGAACATTTTTTTTTTTTCCCCTTCATCTACTATCTCAATCTTCTCTCTGGCCTTCATTTTTTTTTTTTCCTTCATCTACACCTCTGTTTTTTCTTTCTTTTCTTCATCTACTTCTTATCTTCTTTTTTTCTTTTTTTTTTCAATCTCGGACCTTTTTTCCCTCTAATCTCTCTCTCTCATTTTTTTTCTCCCTTCTTCTT